TGTCGCTTATTTAAGCGGATAACCCCTTAGATATGCAGTTGTACCCATATGCGGACAGATAAGTATGGATAAGTCCCTATACCCTTTGATATGTCCGCAGAAATAGCGGAAAAATTAGGTAAAATTAGGGAAACTGTGACAGTACCCCCGCCTCTAGCTTCGAGCTCCGTTTGAGAAGTTTCGACCATTTGACCAGTGAAGTGCCTTTACGCTTTGGTAATCTCGAGATCACAATCGGCTATACGCTCAATAATGAGCTGAGCAATGGGGTCGCCTTTGGCGATCTTCAGCTCGGATGGTCCGGTGTTGGTAACAACAACCTTGACTTCGGCTGGGTCACCCTGCTCAATAATGCCTTTGATTGCTCGGATTCCTTTGGCTAATGGATTCCCTACTGGGGTAATTCTCCCGTAGGTGCCAACTGGTAGTTGTATCCGGATTCCTGTTGGAATCTGAAGTGTTGCGTTACTGGCGACTTCCTGGTTTTGACTCGCATACAGTTCAAAGCCTGCTGCTGTATTGGTCTTTCTCTTGGGTTCCTGGCCTCCTCGTAGCTCAACTCGAAGTGTTGCATCCCTTTTCAGGAGAGCAAACACCTTGTCATCATTATCATCGAGTGCCCTGATCACATGCGGGTGCGCATCGTGATATTCCTTGATGAGTTCCTTCGAGCCTTTGAGGTTCGCTACTGGTTCCCATGTATCCTCGTTGGGAGTGGTATTCTTCCATCGTACGAGGTACTGAAGCTTGCAGTAGTGCCAGTGAGAGAATAAGATCTTCTCCACTTCCCATTCTTCATGACTGTCAATGATAACCGGCTTTGCAGCTGGTCCTTTCTGACCCAGGATTTCCACCTCATGGTAGGGTATGAGCTTACTGGCGTGGAAGACCGGATGTAATTTGGTCAACCTCGGTGGCCATTTCAGTCTGAAGGTGACTGGAGAGAGTTTTTCAACAATCTCGAAAGGCCCCGAATACCGTGCGTTGAGTTTTCGACCGGTGGTTTGATAGTCTCGAAGGTCAAGTAAGACCTTATCGCCCACCTTGAAGGGGACTTTCTGGACTCCTTGGTCATAATACCACTTCATACGCTCGGCTGCCAGTTTGAGAGCGGCTTTCGCCTGCTCCTGCGCTTGTTGTTGGTTCCAAACAATGTCATTGAGGTCGCTTCTTTGCACCTTCTTTGTAAGTGTTGGACCTGCCCGTGGATGTCTGCCGTATTCCAAGAAGAATGGTGTCTCCTTGGTGCCCTCATGCGCTGCATTGTTGTAAGCAAACTCAGCAGAGCTAAGTAGCCTTGACCAGTTGTCGAGTTGATAGTCGATGTAGCAGCAAAGATATTGCTCCAGAACTTGGTTGACTCTTTCAGTCTGACCATCAGTCTGTGGGTGGTACGTGGTGGACATGGTGGACTCCATCCCTAGTAGCTTACACCATTCCTGGAACAGTGTAGCCGCAAACTGAACACCTCGGTCGGATATAATCTGGGATGGTAAGCCGTGAAGCGGATACACCCGATTGTATAGCAATTCTGCTAGATCCTTTGCCGAGAACTCGTTTGTTATTGGGTAGAAGTGAGCCAGCTTTGTCAATCGATCCACGACTACGCAAATGGCATCATAACCATCTGATTCTGGGAGCTGAGTGATGAGGTCAACGGTCATAACTTCCCATGGCCCTTCCGGGACACGGTTGGGTTGTAATGGTCCATATGGCTGCTGTGGACGGTTCTTCATCCGTTGACAAATGTCGCAGCCAGTCACATACTTCTTGACAAATACCGACATGCTAGGCCACCAATAATTGCGTGAGACGAGTTCATATGTCTTCCACCTTCCGGGATGTCCGGCTGAAGGGAGATCATGATGCATTTGAACTATACGCCTGCGCAAGTGGTCCTGCTCGCTGTTGGGGATATATACTTTGCCGCGATAAAGCAACAATCCATTCTTATAGTTCCAGTCCACAAGGGACTTGCCGAATTCTCTAGGACCTGACTTCAGCAATTGCTGATAATTCTTGGTCACATCGTCTTGTAGGAGTGCTTCCTTCACTTCCCTCAGGAGTTGATCGTCATTAACGGGCGACTCATGGGAGGCCTCGACTGCATTGATTGCAAAAAACTCCGGTTTCA